CCCGTCTCCCACATCCCTCCCATGCTGCTGCCAAAAGCTGCAGGCTCCGGGGTGGGGGGACCCCTCTGCCCCTTTCCCTTCCCTGGAGGAGACCTCTCACCACTCACCCCAGAAGCCCCCAGAGAAGCTGCTCTGGGTCCCTTCAGAGAAGGCGGCCGGTCACACGACCAAGGATGCAGCTGAGCCCAGCAAACTCGTTTCATTTGTAATCAGAGCTGGAGCAGAGCTCGCCCTGCAGCAGCACCGGCTGACGCTCCCAACCACAGCGCTGCGGAGCCTTGGACTCTTCCCTCCTGCAGGAAAAGCATCAAAGGGGACACTCTGTCCCAGCGCTTCCCAAATTTATTCCAAATGTTCTAATTACCACAGTCTCCCACCAGCTGCTGCACTCGCTGGCAAGGCTACAGAAAGCAGAGGATCAGGAATCAAGATGCAGGGGGCTCACCCCAGCACCCCAAACCGTGCCGACCCAGGGGACTCGGTCACAGGTGGGGGCACGGGGGCCTGGTCCCAGCATCAGAGACAGGACTCGTGTCACCAGGCAGAACGGGGAGAGGAGCTGCTCGAGGTCTCGCTCGGTGCGAGGTTTGGCCGGGAGGGATCTCCACCAGCATCAGCCCACGATGAGGACACGCAGCCACCTCCGTGCCAGGTGCTGGGTTGGAAGAGCAGAGCAGTGGATCCCACCAAACTTCCAGCCAACCTTCAGCACTGAATTTAAGATGTTGCTTTACATTTCCCATCCCTGCTCCGCTTCCTAAAACTGCCTTCTCCTTCCCAAAAGCCCAAGAGGAAGAAGAGCTGCGGGATTCCCGTTTCCCCCTCCTCTGTCCCCGGTGAACGCCGTAAGCGCAGGCGCTGGAGATCCAGCTGGGAGCATGCTTACCAGCTGAGACCACACAGGGGAGACAGGCAGCTTGCTCCGAGACCGCAGCTGGCGTTCGGGTGAGAGCTATTTTTAGACAATCCCGGCAATTTTTAGACAATCCTAATACCGGAACCACAAGCACTGAGGGGAAGCTTCTGCACACCCAGAGTGGATTTGGGAATCTCACCTGCGGGTGCAGGGATTTGCACCTCCCGTGTGATGCCAGGCGAGGTTGCTCAGCTGTTGGGAGCAGGGGCTGCAAGGACGGGTGCCTCCACGCAGGAACGGGTGCTGCAAGCACCCTTTTTTCCTCCATCCTTTAGGAAAGCCATGGCTTAATCCAAACTCCTCCGCATTCAGCTGGACGCAGCCTGGATGAAACGTTGTCTGATCCACCTACGAGGTTAAATAAGCGAGTGCCTGCGCCGTCTCTCTTCAAGCCGTTGGAGAAGGCAAGAGAAATCAGAGGACAACGGGGAGGGGAAATAAAACAAAGAGCTGCCTCTGATAGCCGAGATCGTCACCAGGCTAATTAGCCCACGCTGACGGCAAGCACTGGCCAAGCTGCTGAGAGGGACTGGGAGAAGGTTGAGAGACCAGGATTGTCTCATTCTAACAGCAAAAATAAAATCTGGAGGTCGCAGAGAGGAAAAAAAAGTAGCTAGGACTCTGTCCCCGGGCAGGCAGCACACTGGTTTTCACAGATGAAATATTCCCTCCCCTCAGACTATTTTGAAGTTGCAGTTTGCTAAAAAGGCGGCTGAGTTGCAGCTCCTGCAGACAGCAGTGGTGACATGCCCGAGGTGGGGACGACCGTGGCTCAGAAATGGGGATTCTCTCTCCCATCGCAGCAGATTATTCAGCTGCCCCCCCACACCTATAAGCATCTCTTCCCCTCGGCCGTTTGCTGCGGACTACACACAGAGCGTAGTTCAAACAGAAAGGGGCTGGAAACATCACCTGCTCAAAAATCCCTTTGTGCTCAAGTCCCAAAATCCAAAGGGATTCGAGGTGGAAAAACCCCACACAAACACTTTAGGCATCACTACCTGTGGGTCTGGATGTTGAGAGCGCTGATCAAGGTGCAAGGGACAGAGCACGACAGAGTTAAATGCTGGGGCTCTGCATCACCTCGAAAAGCAAAATGTTTTGTACAATTCACCCCTGTCCTTCCCACAAAGAGTGATGCTCCTGCAGGTTGTCACCAAGGGAGGGAGAGAGAGAGACAGAATTTAACAACTTGACAGGGAAAAAATCACTCCAGACACTGGTTTGGTGAGAAAGACGACTGTATTTCTGCTCTTACTGTGGTGTCACATACAAGTTATAGTGTGGTTTAGTACAAGGAGACGCTGGGATACACACAAATGAACCCCACTGTGAATTACATCGTCCCACCGCAGGACCAAATCTTACACCAAGCGTGCAAACGAAGCATAAACAATGTAAAAATATATTATATATTTACATACACAATCTTTTAAAAAGCTGAGATGCAAGTATAAATTCCAGAGCTAAAACATGTCAGGGAGACGAGAGGGGTTAGATTCAGCGAGCTGTTTGTAGGCAAATTTACAGTCACAAAAATAAACTTTAAAAACCCCCGGGGGAAGCCGACAGGACTTTTGGACACGTGCCCAAGAAAGGAGCCCCTGATGTCCCGTCACGCAGACGGGAGGGCTCAGCAATTTAGTGACAGACGGGGACGATGCTTGGCGGAAAGCAGCGGCGCAGCTCCAGCACTCTCACCAGAGTCGGGATTTCTGCGTCCCAAGAACGCCACAACCCGGTTATCGGAGCCGGGGCTCGCACCGCGTGGGCAGCGTTGTGTGACGAGAGATGGCTTTTACTGAAACGACCGATGCTAAAACCACTTGCAAACCCCACAGCGGGTGCCACGGCTTTGGGCAGAGAAGCGAGATGAGCTGTTCTGTCCTCCGCTAGGCATGCCGGCAGCCTGACCTCAGCAGTAAGGGAGATTTTAGCATTTAAAAGCCCGAGTATTAGTCTCCTAAGTAAGCGCATGTCACATCCGCAGCCTTTGGCTGGATTTAGCGACTCCAGCAGGTGCCCTGGCAAGAGCTGGCTGCAACCTCGGTTTACGCATTGACCTAAAGATGTTCCTCGATCTAATTAAGTCACTTGAGGATCTTCCAACCCAAGAAGCCAGGGAACGCTATCAACAGGTGCTGTGAAACACTTCCAAAATCCCCTCAACAGCTCAAATGAGTTACCGCGTGCTTGAACCACTCATCTTCCCGAGCCAAACCCAGAGCAGCGAAGGTGTGGATGGAGCCTTCGAGTGTGCGGAAGGATTCACACGCGGCTAAGTCAGAGCACACCGCTAGGATAAGGTAACAAAGGACAGTCCAAGACACTCCCCGGCAGACAGCTGCGCAAAACCAGACCAGGAGTTTTGTGTGCGGCACGAGAGAAAGCTGGGCTGACATCAGAGCACCTAGGACCTTCCGCTCGCACCTCACTTGGTCACAAACCCCTGAGCAGGTCCCTGCCACACAGATTGCCAAAAAGGCACTTCAGGGAAGGCTCCAGCAGCACCCTGAGAAGCAGCAGGACAACCCTGTCTGGGAGACTCCTTCAAACGCCTGCCTTGTTCACCTTTCCAGGGGCTTCCTTCTGCCTCTCTTCTCACCCACCTACAGAATTATTCATGGAAGTTGCCATTTCCAGTTTGTAGCAGCCAGCACCATCGCCCCAACAAGGCAAAACACTGGCCTGGATTCTGCCAGAGCAGCAGCCCAAAACCTTTACCTGGTCTGAAGGATGTACAGTTAACAAGGATGATGTTGAAGGTTTCAAGCTTCTCAGGGTAGCTGCTGGCAGGGAGCACAACACCGGGACCGAAGAGGCCACTAAATCCACTCAGGTTTTGGGTTTGTCAGAGCAGTGCTGTGCACGGATGAAATGCAGAGGGAAGGCTTCACTGCCACCAGGCAAAAGATGTGCCGGTCAAGCCCAGCCGTTTCCCGCATACCATGAGTGTAGACCTGTCACCTCAACTCGCTGCACGAGAGCCCAGCAATTTGTCTGTGGGTGCATTATGCCGCTGACACTTGCTGGGAGCTGACCCTGGGTACCTTTCGTATTTTTGAGTCCCATGTCTCCTCCCCTCTCTCATCCTGCTGTTACAGAGAAGCTGAGCAAAGAAAAGGAAACATAGTACTGCCCACAAAAACTATTTTGGTTTTTTTTAGAAGAATCGTACTCATGTTTCTCCAGAGGTTCAGGTAGGTAAGCCTTTGCCCAGCACATCTTTCACGCAAACACCCGACTCGACATGCTACAAATTTGAGTGTGAAATTTGGTATTAAGTTCCTTTCTAAAATGATCCTGGATAGCAGCCAGAATCAGCATTCTCCACCTCTGACAGAGCCTTGAGATGACTAGTGCTTCTCTGCTGCTGGCCTGTCCCTTGGGGCTCATCCAGACCACAGGAGAGAGCTGACTTTGTGTACACTGCGTAAAAAGAAAATACAAGAAGATGTGGGGTACGGGCTGAAAGGTACGTAGGGATCTCTGCCACAAAGGAAGGCTCATCTCTCCCTCTCTCTCTGAGAAGCAGTGCAAAAGGAGCTGACTTTCACACAGCAGGGTTCTTTGCTCCACACATCTGGGGCACTCACGAGGACAAGACGTCGGGGTGCCGCAGCCGTGAGGTACGAACCTCCAGCTCCTGGAAGGCCCAGGACTTCCTCCCCAGAGCTGCCCTGCACTGGGAGCAACCCAAAGAGTGGATCTAGGCCTGCTGTGTGTAAGCACGTGGAGTCTTTCGCCTCACCACCAGACAGAGGGACTCCCAGGGAAGTTACAGAAAGACTAGATTGACATCATTAGCCAAACTTTAAATGGTTGAGTAAAAGCAATTAGGAAAAACCCCTACTGCAGACAGACAAACCAAGCAGCACTGGGTGGGTTCCTTCTCCGCCTCTTGTACATCTCTTGCGTGTACCATGCCTTTGGGGGGCAATTCAAACATCCAGCACCTTCAGAGAGGATTGAAGTCCAAGCGTTAGAAGTCACTGAGGATACTGATGTCTGCAAACTCGTTCCTGTACCGGTAAGCGTACAAACTGAGCAGGAAGGCCCATTTCAAGGAGATGAAACTCCAGACGCACGACAGGTAGTAGCTTCTGGGATCAGTTAGGGCTAGGAGAGAAAAGGATACAGATACATTTAAAAATCCCATTTATCCCTCGTGCAGTCCCACCAGGAAGAACTCAACTCAGCCCCCCAGTTCCTGGGAGCTTTTCAGCCTGCAGCTAAAGATCCTGTTCTGCAAGCGAGGCTTAGGCAGTGCCTTAATCCCAGCTCTCTTGGCCCAGACCCCTGCCACAGGAGAGTATTCCGGTCACAGTCTGAAGAAGGTCGTTACTATCTCCCAAGAAGCAGACCCAAAGAGCTCTAAGGTCACCCACACAGCCACCCCGGACTCTCCTTGCTTAGGAGAAGGATAAAGTCCATGTGAATTCCTGGATGGCAGAAACATGCAGCTCAAGAAAACAACCTCAACCTGCAGTTCTTAATTTCTCTCACCCTGCCTTACTACTACTCCCTTCTCCCCCACCACGGCAGGGAGAGAGGAAATCTGCACATCTAGGGGGAAAACAGAGGAAATAAAACAGATTCTCCTTCTAAAAATGCTTTTACCAGTTGTGACTGATATTTAACACATAATACTGGTGCACTTCAACCTGTACTGCAGGTCTTCAATACAGCGCTGTGATAATCACACGTTAGTGGATGACATGAACAGCCTCTTTTTAGAGAATCTTTGCAAATGAACACATTTCTTCTTTATCTATTATAAAGCTGCCTCTACTCAGGGATTACTCTGAAGTCAAGTGGGTATGGTTCTGCTTTCTGAGTGCATGTCAGCAGTCTTCATGTTTATTTTGAATGTTTAGCGGTTTTTTGTTCTAGTTGTCAACAATTTGGAAATACACTTACGTAACCTAATGCGTAAAATAATTCCACCTCTAAGTACAAGGTGCTTGGTCATTATTAAAAAAAATAAAGGTAGATAATTTTTTTGAAGATTACACAAAGCAATACTTACTCAGTAAATCCCACTCATTAAATGTATCAGTCCTAAACTTTCCATACTTAAATAACCATTGCAGATGTTCTACTCTCCCCCAGAATCAGGGCTTTCCCTAAAATACCCCCATTTCCCTAAAAAAAAAATCTCCAAATATTTCCCCCAAAAAAAGCTTTTCCTCATGTCTCCAAGAAAGGAGGTGAAGAAAAATATTTGGTTTTCTTTTTATGTTTGTCTTTCTAACGATGGTGTACAAGTATATTTTCATAGCCTTCCACTAGGCTGAAGCACTCGAATCTCCACGGGGAGTGTATTTAGGTTTTTGGTGGGTTACGACCCCAACGCAGCTTGCCTACCACCACGAGTACAACAACAAGAGGATTCTTAGTGGCTATCAGCCCAAATGCAGCAAGCAACAAACACAGACAACTTCTAAAAAAAACAAACCCCAAACTTTCTCTCTTTGGTCTATTGCCAAACAAATAGTGGGAGTAATTATGTAAACCCTCCTTTGACAATGTTAAATATTTTATAGCAGCACAGCTTTATATGCTGACTAAGTTTAGAAGGCATTTTCACCCTGCTGACTCGTGTTTGGATTTCAATATCCTCACCCACCTGCTTTATGAGTGCTGAAGAGACAATGTTTAAGAGCACTCGCTTTATTTGTCCTGGAAATAAGTAAATTCCAGTTCCTGTGGGAAATAATGCTGGAAAACGGCTTGCCAGCAGTCCTATAGACCAGGCCTATCGAGGCAGCTATCAAATATTAGAAGATGCAGCTATCAAATATTAGAAGATGCCCCAAGGGAATGGCACTCATCGGGCAGCAGAATTACTCAACACAGCAGAAAAATGAAATGCAACGGCATTCTTGCAGCCCGAAAGTCTCTCAACACCTCTCAGATGGCAAATGGCAGGAGCATCCCCGGATTCAAACCCAGTTCTGCTTTGTAGGCTTTTCTGTTCCTTCAAATCCAATCCCAGTAATCCCAGCATTGCTAGTCATTTCTCCCAGTTGCCTATTGTAACAAAGTACTTACACTGGTGCTTGGTGATGGCCAGAACGAGGAATGTGCAGAATCCCACCACTGAGAGAGCTGAGAAGAGGATCCCGATGAAGAGGAAGAACCTCAGCCCTTTTAACCAGGTCCTCCAGTAATCCTGCACATACATCACATGCGTGATTAGGGCCCAGAGCGCCAGAACACCTGCTCAATTAGACAGCAAGGGGAATCAGTACCGTGCATCACACTGCAACACAGAAAGGCGTCTAATAAATACACATCTCGTTAAACCCCAAGGAACGCTAATGCCTCGTGGCCGCGTGCCCCGCAAAGAGAGGGGAAATACCCGAATAAACGGCTGCCTGCGCAAGCATCGCTCTCCACCACCACCCCAGCCTCCCCGTTTTTGCTTTAAGATACAGATCTTGATTACAGGCTGGCCCAGAAAGGACTTGGTTCATTGAACGGTTCCCCCCAAAATAATGTTTGTTTTCCTGTTTGGAACAGACCCATTTAATGCATACTCAGGGCAGTTTTACTTAATTCTCCATACAGCTTTCAGGACATCACACAAGCCAAGCGCTTGGCAAGAATTAGCACATCTCTTCGCAAAGGCCAGGCAGCCCCTTCTATACATGCAGACGATGATGAAGAGCACCACTACGTAACCACTGATTTTAGACACCTAAAACAAGATGTACTGGACCTGTTCAGCACTCAGGGTTTCACATCATGTCTTTTAGCTCCCGCCAATCTCTAGTTAACGTCACAGAGTGTCCATTTATACAAATCCCCTCCAAACACTTCAAGTGTTTCAAGTAAAGGGGTGTGGAAGTTCAGCTCCCAGATGATTCATACATACAATTCCCACTTATGGCAAAGCACGCTCACTAAGTGTTTAAGGTGGCCTAAATCTAACTCTGTACTTTTGGGTCTGGCCCAAAATGCCTGGATTATGTAACTGGACAAATATCTGAGCACATACAGCTTATTTATTTTTTATTATTTTTTTTAAAGACCAGCCAAATTCACTCTGGCTTTCATAGCAACAGCAAAAGGCATTTTCTTAAGCTTAGGTGACAAGTCCATAACCAAGTTTCAACTCCTTTGTCAAAAGGGAGGAAACGGGAGGTAAAAAAAAAAAAAAAAAGGATGAAAGCATCCAAATAACAGCTGTAAACAGTTTCTGCTATAGGGAAAAAGATGTCTTGTTCTAAAAATTGCTACCTTTTCACCACACTTCTGAAAAAAATTAGAAGAGACACTCAATACAACTGTCCGTTCACACGCTTAAAGCCTGTCAAAGTTTTTCTAACCGGCCAGAACAAGGCTGCCTGTCATTCCCCATAATACAATCCCAACTACAAGCAACATCAACTCCAATTATAGCAAGCTGTTCCTCCGTTTAAAGTCGCAGCGCTGAAGAGTATGACTAAATCTCCTTAAGCTGCTAACTCAGCCTATAGTTAGTGCCACTTTACAGACTTAAAACATTTGACTCATTTTGGCAAAGACCTTGGCGGCCCTTCTGAAATATGAACCTCCAGTGGTGCAACTAACTGGCTTGTATTTCTCTTTTGCTGCCACCTCCTTTCCAGATTTTATTTGAAGGGCAGCAAGGGGAAAAAAAAAAAAAAATAACACCAGGCTGCTTTATATGGTATCCTGCAATAACACAGACCTCCCTCTGCAGCTACTTCTCAACATCAAAGGAAGCGAAAAGCAGCCTTGCCCACTACAAGATAAACATTTTAATACTAAGGATAGCCACACATCTTGCCAGAGCTCATTTGTTACTGGATACGGTCATTATACCCAAGGCTTAAAAGAACGTGCTACAGCACAGACGAAACCAACTGTGTCAAAACAGATAGCTGAGCACAGCCCAGAGTCGCCCCACAAACCTGCTGGACTTGCTTTTCAGCTCCCAAGCAGCTTTCAGCTCATTTCTAGCAGGTTTTCTGTCCTCGCTGGCCACACGGACACGGGATGTGCTGCAGGTGCACGGCAAATGAAGCTGAATACACACAAAGTCAGTTCCAGACTAGACAGGAGAACCCTGGCAATGCTTTTTGCCTCTTCAGTGTCTTGGGATGGGGCAAAGAAAGTCAAAATACTCTCCATGGTGGCCCACAAAAGAGCTGGGTGGAAAAAGGACAACCTTCAAAAGAAAAACCCAATAAAAGCAAAAGCACTCAGGGTGAACTAAAAACCCACGGGTAAAGTGCTGATATCCAGGACAGATGGAGCTCTCAGACTTTTTATCACAGCAAACACGCAAGGCAGAATCAGTCCATTACTTCATCTGGTCAGACCTGCTGTACCTAAGCGGTGTCTAAGCATGTTTTCTGGCTCCGGCAGCGAGGATTTTAATTCTGAGAGTCTCATCAAGTCAGCTACAGATACTGCTTTTCCATGACTGTTCAATACAGGCTAGCACTACGCACACGTGCTAGAGATCACAAAGCTGGCAGACGATATGCTGGAGTTCTGCAGATGCAGAAGACGATAATTGTGTTGGCAATGCTTTTCAAAAAGCCTGCCACAGGATTTGGTGGAAAAGTCTATCACTCAGCTTTCTAAACCACCACTTCCCCAACTTGGTATTACCTTTAAGCTTGTTCTCGAGCAAGTTCAACTCACTTTAAAAAAAAAAAAAAAAACCAAAACGGGGAACTTGCGTTTTTCAGTCAGCAAAACAACCTGTTTCCCCCCCGGGCACTTTCAGATGACTTGGCACAATTTATTTGAACTTGCTGAGTCAAGTTGCTGGTGTTTCCACACCAAAACTGCCGCTGATGCTCTGAAAGCTCTCTGTGGCAAGAGCAGAAGCAGCACATGATCTTCCCCCTGACTCTAAAGCCTGATGCAGCACTTGAAGCTGTTTGGCAAACCGTTGTGTTCGGTTAATTCTTAACATCTGGAGTAACTGGCCCACACGTGAGTAAGCAAAAAAAGGCTCATGACAACTTCACCACGCGCTGAAGGACAGAGTTTGGTCACACGGTCATTAAAGATGGGGTATCCTTTTACAGGCAGCTCAGCCAACATCACGTTCATTACCACGTGAAATAGAGGGGAAAGAGCCTCCTCTAGCTCCAGCCGTACGCTTCCCTCCTCTCCCTTACACCCCTACGGCAGTCCAATCCTTTGGTGGGTCGACACAGCTTGCAGAGCGGTTGATTTTTCTTTTTTTTTTTTTCCTTTAAAATGGCAGAAAAGCGTTCCAAAAAGTTAAATCAGCTCATAGCACTGTCTGAAAAACATCAACACCGACACAAAAAACACTGGCAGTATGCATTCAGGAACAGGTAGGAGAAATGAGAACAGGATTTGCTTTTTCAATTAATTTGCTCACCCTGAGCTTGTGAGATGATACTCGGACAGGCACTCAAACCCCACCAGTGCTGCTCAGCACTAGGGAATAGGCACCAAAAAAAAAAAGCGCAAACCCACCATCCAGACGTTGACAGATGCACAATTGAAGGAGCATCCCAAGTGGGATGAAGCTACATAACAGCAGGGCATGACAGACCAAACTCTGAGTCTGAATACACGGGGAAAACAAACAATTATTGCAGGGAATCTAATTTAAGCATATTGCTGAATACAGTTATCACTAACCAAACACAAATACATGAAAACATGTACTTTTGCTAAAAAGCCTTCTTTGAGCTAACTGCTTATCTACGTGCAGCATTCAGCAGGGAAAAAAAAAACACCCTATTTCTAACTTCCTCCAGAGGAGAAGTGTCCGTGAATGCTGGAATGGAGCATTTGATTCATGTTTAATTCAACTGAAATTGGGTTCAGGAAAAGAAAAATCACCTCCTATTCACCAATATACATAAGGTAAGGGGTGAGAACAAATTAGTTGTTCTGTTAGATTTACAGAAAAGACTTTCATTATCACACAGAGAAACTAAAACCATATTAGTATTTTTAGTTAATGCGAAATCACTCACTTTGTAGACCTTGAGAGCAAAAGGTTTGCAGGTTTAACACAAACCCATTGGCTCTATGTAGGCAATAGAAGAGCAGCTAGCTCCTTCAGCTGTACAACTGAAACAGGTTTTACTGGAATAGAAAATAAGAGTTATGTCTCCTTTAAAGTCTGGAATGATTAACTACAGTACCTCCCGTTTTTCTTTCTCACCTCGAATTCCCCCCAAATCCCCTCCTCCTCCTCCACAACCACAGTCATATTCTCCAGGGGAATTGCACTTTGCACAGAATCAAAACCTGAACTTGCAGACGTAGCCCTGGAGTAGCAACGGTGACAGTCAGCTCCAGTTACACCATCTGCTTAAAATAACGTCAGAAAATCTTGCACCCAGAGAAACATTTGTCTTGGTGGATTTACCCCGCACATCATGGTTGGAACGACCCTAAAATAAGAGCTGCTCACAATAAGACACAATCAAGGGATTTCCGACACAGAGCAACGGGAAAGTTACCTCTAAATCAAAAACTAATTATCCCAAGTACACAAAGCTCCAGGAAAAGGAAACTGGATCAAACAACCATGAGTGCATCTGAAACAACAGTGACAGAGGCAGGTTTTTTTAAACAAGAGTTAGCAGGTATTTTGACAAGACAAATTCATATTTAAGATACAAAAACTTACAGCATACTTGGAACAAGTTTAAATAAATTCTAAAAGGCAAGTTCAAAAGCAGGCTCGCCCTCAGTCAGTAACCTAATACAAAAAAACACTAATATCTAAATATTTTGATAAGCCCTTTCCAAAGTTTGGCATACTTTAGCTCAAGTGAAACAAAACTTTCCCTTTCTCCAAACATAAAAACAAACCCAGTGACAAACAAAAAGTTTTCTCAGACCCCTGCTCATCACTGCCCGATTCTTCGGTCCCAGTAAAACAAGCTGCATTGTTGACCAGGAATAACAGCCCAGCTGCCTCCCCTGAGGTCAGAGCAGCCAGAGGCCAAACGTGTCAGGCCACGTTTGCACGCCGTGGAAGGACACTGTGTACGACACTAATGGGCGTTACAGATTCTAGGAAAAAACAACAAATGTGCAAGGGAAGCCAAAAACCCAAGCAAACACATAAGATGCAGAAGCTATTCCGCAATGAGCATTCTTATTCCAGCATTCTGAAGCTCAGAATGCGTGTTGATGATGGCAAACAAAATGACAATAAGAATGAAAAACAATATTAAAAGCTACTTGTGTAGTCCTGGAAAATATGAAGCCTATGGTGACCAATTAGAAGAATTTTTTCAGAGTGCTTACAAAGCCTTCAGTCATTTTCCATCTAAACAATTTTTTTTTTTATACACTCTATTACTCTAGCTGAGGCATTAGAAATACCTACTCTAAAGGGAGCCTGAGCTTCGCCATCCTACGGTCGTTTCGCCATTTCTAAGTTTTGAAAACTTTGTCTTGTCTGGTTGATTCCCTGAAAGGGTAAAACATTTTCTTCCGGGAGCTAAAGCCAAGCTAGCTCAGCCTCAGCTGGTTTTGGAAGAGGTTAAAAATGGGTTTTCTTGAACAGCTCTTCTGCCAAAATAGCTGGGGATCAACACTGAAATATTTCCAGCTCTTGAAGGAGAGGAGTATTCTAGTACAAAAGTGGTTTTCGCTTGGCAAAATTTCCCTCTGGACACGTGCGATCGAGCGCTTTACTATTCCAGGCCGTTTCGGTTTGGAGGAAAGCAAGATTGGGCCGCATACATGGGAGAAGAAAATCTGGCGTTGCAGCTTGTCGTTCAGCACCGAGTCGGTCTGCTCAGCCATTTTCAGAAGCAGGAAACAAGATTTACAGATTTCAGATGCTCTGGGCCTCTATCACTCACATCTCAGATGAAACCAACATCACATTTTCCAGCACATCAGCAGCACTTACAGGGGACTCATTCTCTCCTTGCAACTTCACTAAATTACAATTAAGAGTAAGCCATGTGCAATCTTTTCTGCATTTCCTTTTAGCGTGCTTTCCCTCCCTTTACTCCATTCCTTAAGACGATGGACTAAAGCAGTCGTGAGCCAAGCCTTAATTGACCAGTATGTAGTATTTTATATGCAAATCCAAACATTTAAGAATGTTTTTACTTCATAACTGCAGGGCTTTTTGGCCGTGCTATTCTAGCCCTGGCTAGGGAAAAAGCCAATTTGCATAAATTTATCTAGTGTATGTGAGTTAGATTAGTTATCAGAGACTTCAGAGAATCACTACTTTTGTACGTGACAGATGCTGCGTTCAGCATAAACTAGCTTCTACTACTTTCGCTTATCAGATATTTTTAAAGTTTCAAATGTCTGAAAAGTACCTTTTGTGTTTCATCTTCTTTGCAGCTGCTTTAATATCTGTTCCACATTATATTCGCAAAGCACAAGCTCTATATTTTGCCAGAAATATCTGAGCAGCTTGGAAACAGCCAATAAAGTCTCTTTGGAGTAGAAAAAAAAAAATCCCTCTCTTTCGATTAAATTTAAAGAGAGAAGATACATACACAAGAACATTAAAAGCCACTCAGGAAAAGGGCTGGATACATCCTGAAAACATTCAATTGCTTTCTTCTCTTTTAAATTGCCTCTGGCAGAACAGAAAACATGAGAGTTGCTTAGAGATTCATGGCCTACTTAAAAAAAATATTAATTTAAGGCAGTGAGGGGAGAAGGTCAAACATACAAACAAGCAGTAAATTATAAAAGCCACTGTGACTAGCTCAAAATTAAATGGCAAACCACCGAGACAGCCAGTATTAACTCAGGAATGACTTTCTGGGGCCTGCGATTAGTCAATTAAGTTGCTGTCCCTCAGGTTATCAGAAGCACTCGATGGGGTGTTTCTGCTTCAAACAAGGATATGATACACAGGTCTGTATCTAATTTAAGGTGATCCCCAAATTCCCAAGTATGCATGCCCAGAGGCATATTTAAGATTTTGAGGATTAGTGAGTTGATGTAACTAGGCATTGCATGGGGGGTTTATTATTCTGAAAGCCAACCGGAAAGACTGGAAAGGTAGTTTGCTCAGCACCTGAAATTACACGCTTCTGGTTTCATAACTAGAGGTAACTCAGGGCGCTCGTTACAGACTCATCAGTATGTGGCAATTTTCCCTCCACAGAACTTTAATACTAGAACTTGGAGTAAATAGATATCTAAGTCTTTATAGGAAACGTAGCAGAGCAAGTAAAAGTACAAGCAGCAGCGGAGGGCAGATTTCAATGCAAAATGTAGCAGGAAAGGTTCTCTAGAAGATAAGCAAAAGATAAATAAACTGATTACAAAGATATACATTCCTGACTGCAGACAGGAATCAGAAGGACTCCTTACAGAGAGGAAGTATATGGATAAACACCCTAAGCCACACGTCCCCTGACGAAGCAAAGGCAGATCAACAAAAGCTGCAGCAGGCTGCAATCCATCTCTCCAACGCAGGCAAGAGAAAAGCAACGACAAACACACAGGAGGTGATGGGAAAGCCAGAAGGACAGTTAAAACTAGATAAACATCTACAAACACACACTCGCAGAGAAGGCTGGCTGGCAAAGTCTCAGCTTAATCAGAGGCCTATTAACGAGGAACTGCTGCAAAGCTGCCAAATACACTAGCCTAAACAATTTTCTGCCCCCCACACACGGTGTCAGAGCTCCCAGCTACAACAACCTGACCTGCAACTCGCTCCCAGGGGACTCAGATCCCTTTTTGAAGCCTCTGAATGAAAAAGACACATATAAGCCCCAAAAAACCCCAAAACACCCCATTTGTGCTAAAGACAGCATACCTCCAGCACAGGGGTTTCACGTCACAACAACAACGCTGCAGCAGCGCACACGCTGCACCCCAGGACTTGAGCTGCGTTGCACGTTTTGGGGGAGAAACCATCTTTCTGCATTGCGTTATCCAGTACAACATGCAGAAAGTTGCAACAGGTTTATTAGCAGACTGAAGGGCACAAAACAATACCTGACAATTAACTTGGCAATGTCTACACAGCGGAAAATTTCAGCAGCTCACCCACCACTTCCTTTCCTGCCATTCTCTGCCAGTAGAAGTAACAACTAGTTAGCGTGTTACAATAAAAAACCGGATGATTTAATGAAGTACGCCAGAAACAAACCAAGTGAACGCCCTGCTTACCTGAAACTGAAGTATCCACAGTGTCTAAGCATAACGCGAACCTCCTACACACCGCGATTTTTTTCTTATGACAGTCTTACTTCAGCAAGTAGCCTTTGCTTCATTGCACGGAAAAAACATGGCTTTTTTTTTTTTTGGCTACTCCTCCACAACTAAACAAGCAACCACTTAGCTCTCTACCCGTGCAGGATGTGAAATGTTGATTTGTAAAGGCTAGCAATGAACCGAAGGCACAACTTGACTTTAACATTTGTCAATGTTCTGTCATTAACAGAATGAATTTAAAAGGTCCTCCCATATACGGGCTATATTCCCACTCCTTCCTGGCCCCTCTGTTGTGGGGCTAACGATGTTTGTGAGACAGCGTACTACATATACTCAGTTTAGGGGTGGGAGCCTGAAAAAAAAAAAAGTCTCATCTCAAACCTTTGGAGCATATTTCACCTATTGAGACATCGAGGGGGTAGAAAAGTCAAGAAGAAGGGCAGGAAAAAGCAGCCGTGCCTATGATAGCAGGAACCCCTTAAATCAGCTTCGTCTAACACCAAAACATACATTTCTTAATCTGTTTCTCAGGCTTTGTGATCCTACTGTGACTCTACCTATAGACATTTCAACGGATGTTTGAGCACACAAATTCATAGAGCCCAACCTAACAAGTGACCGTTGTTTTTTTTTTAAATTTTGTTTCTTGCTTACCTCGCTCCTTGTTATCTGAACTAGCTTGAGTTACCTAAATCTCCTCCTCCCTGCAGACAACTGTCTAAATAACTTCAGCACAGACAGTGCAGGGTGGTTCCTCCCTCTGCTTTCTCACCAACCTCCTTCTAGAACACGGACTCCCAAAATTCCTCTGTGAACACCGAGACAGCATGTGCATGCAGCATGAAGTATTACTTCTTATTTTCTTGTGCATTTCTGGGGTACAACACCGCAGCTTTCCTCGTGCCACCTAGTAAAGCAAGATAAACATGTTGGAATTGCTTAATTCCAGCTGGAATGAAATCTTTTTGGAAGGAGAGGAAGCAGAGAGACAACCACAACCCTGTGCCTCACAACTGCTCTGACTGTGCAGCAAATACCGAGAGGTAGCCAGGAGCGCTGGCATTGCTCACACACCAGAAATAAGCCAGAATCTTTACAAAAGTTTAACTTCTACTCCTCCTCCAGGTGTTTACTCATTAACTAAGATCCACAACCAACATAGGCATCTGAACCTCACTGATTTCAGTGAACGTTAAGATGCGTTTTACAGCCTCTGGCCTGTACGACCAGCAGCCCAAACACCTATTTCAGAGTGTCTGGCACAGATGCTTTCAGCAGGTATAAACATCAGGAGGCTGGTGCTTTTCTTTCCTGAAAATACAGAGCACAGGTAAATATAGGTTGCCAGACCAAAAATTTACTAGGAAATTCAGCAAAGCTTTTAACTGTAACTTTGAAATGAAATCTTCTCTTCAGTCACAACGCTGGCTAGTGTATGGGGCTTACTCTGACGGCCACGCACAATTTTATCCGCAAACTTCTACAAGTTTTTGCTCCATAACATTGCGAGTTTTACAACACCATTAACTAAAGCTCTTCCACCACAAACAGCAAGTTTGCTAGATTTCGTTGCAAACCCCTTCTTGGGACCAAGACGACGACTAGAATAATTCCATCTTCACTAGTGAGGTTATAAAATACACAAATTAATTTCCTTTTTCCTAAGGGACGAGCAACAACAGACGCAGTTAACGTGTCCCATAAAGCACGGTTTTGCAGTTCAAGTTGCAAATACACCCAGACACTGTGAGCTAAAGTCTCCCAAACAGGTTTTTATTGAAAGTCACTCCTTCACGGGCACAGCAAGTCCCTCCAGGAGGTCAGGAGTTTCTGGGGAGGTCACAAAAGCATCACCTGGAGACTTCCCAAAACGGAGCACAGCCCAAAACTCCATCCTGCTGTCACCTGCCCTCCCCGAGCCGTAGGGAGCTTTATTCCCCGCCACGCACCACGCGCCCAGTTCTGGCAACTCGGCCACGGCGATTCGAAGACAAGGGACGCGTGGAGGTGGGGGCATCGCCACGCGCCGACGGCCAGGCGTCGAGGCCAT